AGGAAAGCCCTAGTAGGTGTAGGGTTGCAGGGGGCAGCAGGTCCGAACCCCTTTGCCTGTGATGAGTGGCTGATACTGCAGTCTGCCCTAGTGAATGGGGCTAGAAGGAGACTGGGCAGTAGCCAAGACTGAGGCGAAGTGGGGGTAGTGGGTGGGGGTTTCCCAGGGAGGGGAGACCCTAAGACTGAAGGGTTCCTGCTAGGGGGCAGCACCCCAGGTATAAGAGCACCGGGGTTCAGGGAGGGACACAGGGGCCAGAGGACAGGTGGATCACCAGCCTGCAGGGGGTGCTCTGGGGCTGGAACAAGCTAATTCCCGGAAGTCACCAGCAGGAGGCGCTGCAGGGGTGAGTCCACTTCTCTACAGAGCCCTTCAACAAAAGGCTGAGCAGGTAGCTATTTACCATCTTCCTTCTTTCAAAACCAATGTGAAAAATTATTTATAAAATTGGGCAAAGGTGAAACAAATATGAGGGGGTGAGAATGGCACATTTCTTGACTGGCCTTTAGTGGGGAGAATAACGTTTTTTCCCCTCTTTCCTGGGCAATTGGCCACTTGTATGGCAGCAGGCAATCTGCCCAGTTTCCCTTATCAGAATGTTGTTGTCCTAGCACACCATAGAACACTGTCTGTTTGCTCTGACAGGGACGCATTTACATTTTCACCATGTTGGGAATTATCTTTGCATAGTTTTCCTGACATCTCCCACTTTGTGTTCTTTCCCTAGTGCAACAAACTCAGCTTTAACTTTTTTTAAAATGACAGAAGTGATGCTTTTTTGCTTGCTCTGGATCACTGCCTCTGTACTCCCTGACAACACACACACTCTCTCTCTTATTCAGCCAAGACAATATTGTTAATTCATTATTTTATCTAAAGTGATTACTGGTTCAATACTGAATGTGGACCCCTATCCCTGGAACCCCCTTTCTGGTCCTGAGGGCCATACCTCTACTCTTTCCATTTATAGCCCATCCGCAAAATATACTTCTGGGAGACTAGTAAACCATAATCTCAAAACAAAATGAAGCCCAAGTAACTCTTAAAATGTGTTCAGCAGGTGTGTGACTTCACAAACTTACTGTTATAACCACCCTTATCCTTCTCTCCCTCAAGCCTGCCCCCACTGAATTTGCCAACGCATTCTGTAATCTCTTCTGGGCAGGGACTTCAGCTTTAAATTGTATGGATTTATTGTACAGTTTGTCTCCTCTTAAGTACTGATCCAAAGTCTATTGATTTCAATAGAAAACTCCCATTGACTTTGCTATCACCTGTTTAAAATACAAAGCCATTCTTGAAAGAACGTTGCTTAAGCAAACTAGTTGTATAAATTTCTTGTCAATCAAATCCATTACGTTGACCTCTTATCAACATCTACCCTAGTCCAGAGGTTCTCAAACTGTGGTCTGCGAGCTCCATTCAGCTGGTCCTCGGATAGTTCCCTCTAAGGTCCACACCTGGGTGGCCGCACCTGAGAGAATGAAGGGCCACCCACATAATTAGTGGAGCCGCGGCTCCAATTAGTCGCCTGGACCCTGGCGAAGACACACATGTAAGGAGAAGTGGGGAATATGGAGTAGGTGAGAAGGGGTGGTGGGGTGAGAAGAGTGGGTGGGGGGAATTTGGGATGTGCAGGGCTGCGGCGGCCAGAGAAAGAGGCGACTTTTCCCAGCTCCAGGGCTGCGGCTGCCGGGGAGAGACCCCCCTCCTTCCCAGTCCCAGCTCGGGGGGCTGCTGCGGCGGGGGGGAGAGGGCACATCCATCCCATTAGAAAGGTAAGAGTACTGATATTAAAATATGAGTTGTGTGCATTTGTACAACAAAAAAACAATTTTTTTAATATAGCGCTTTTATCCAAAGCGCTTTACAATAGTTTAGCTAATAGTACAAACAACATTTGGAAAGATCATTAAGTGGTTCATCAAGACCCTCAGCAATTTTCAAGTGGTCCGTGAAAAAATAAGTTTGAGAACCACTGCCCTAGTCTTTCCCTAGTCCTTTTAATTTAACTCGTTTGAAGTAAAAGTATGTCCAAATGTTCTGACATCCCTGCAAAGAGAATTAGAGATGGATGCAAAATGGAATCTCATATCTGAATACTGCCTTTGGAATCCAGTGAGTTTGGATTCACAACTGTGGTTCTACATCTGCTTTGTTTTGGGACTAAATTGAATCCAAAACCTGTAGAGAACCTGTTTTCTGGAGCTAACCGAAAGACAAACTAAGATGGTGGAAATCCCACAAAAACATTAATTTTATCCACTTTCCATTGTGCAGAATGGTAGGGCAAAATAGCCGTTGGTATAATTCAGCCAAGTTGTGATAACTGTTTTTTGTGTATGAAAGAGCACATGTTATGATAACTATGCTGAATTTAAAGTTTTTGCATTTAATTCTCAAGACAAAATAGGGCAACATTTATAGTGTTAAATATATTTTCCACTAGAATACGGATCCTTTAAATGAAAATTGGCTTCAGAATTTTAAGTGTGACATTTCAGAATTTAATTTTTTGCAAATTTGAGATCTAAAATTTTTGCATATCTTTGGAAAAAATAGCCATTTAATTGAATTTAATAGAAAGAAGAGCTCTAACAGCCACAAAATTGCCTAAAACAAATGACAATTTCTGTGCAAAAATCTTCAGAAAAATGCTTACCCAAGTCACATCTTTATTCTTTGAACATGTATCTTCCACTAATGTATAGATTTATATTTTTAATTCTAATCTAAACATTTATTTATTGAGACTAAAAGTAGTGAAATCTCCATCATTCTGATTTGAGAAGCATATTGTAGCAAAGTATTCTGTCAATATACAAACAGGTCAAAAAATTATTTGTTTTCTTCCCAAGACCTCTGACCTCACCAGCTATGGAGTTTGAAAAATAACTTCACTATCCAGGCCTGACTGTATACAGAAGATTTTAATGATGAATCACATGCAAACTCAGGTGGGTTTTACAACTGAAAACTGAGTAATGATACCTTACATTCAACTTTGGATAATCTCACATTATTTTCCAGAAATGAAACAGAACCAGGCATTTTGTTGGTTTAACTCTTATACTTTATCTGGCTCTCATCATATATAGATTTCACTGATCAGTCACACACTTGCAATCCACTTTTAATATGCTTTAAAAACAAAGACAGATAGTCCAGCATTTTCCCATTCTTAATTCCGAATATAGCAAAACAGAAGCACAAGTGGAACATTCATTGACAAATGTACAGGTTTGGCTGTAGACAGTTTAATATACCAAAATAGAAAAAACAGTGAAAAACTGTCACCATATTACATTCTATCCTTTGATCATTGAAGTTATAGCACCATAAGAAGGGGGAAAATGTTGCTACGCAATACTTGAGAACAATTCAAAACCACCCTTGGGGTTGGAGATGAGGGAGTTATGCAAATCTTGGGTGTTCCCAGAAACCAAGCTTGAATATACTATAACCACATCCCCTAGGCAGTGATTGGAATGTTTGAACTAATTCTCTGATGCTGACATTTTCACTCTGTATTGCTCTTACAGAAAGATTTGGAGCAAATCAACAGGTGTCTAACTGCACCTACACAGCTCCCCATCCTACAAGCCCAGAAGGCCCTAAACTCAGCAGAACTGATGTGATTCAGCTCTGAGGAGACAGGACATGGGGGTAGGGGGGGTACACAAAGGGATTTGCACTCCTTATGTGCCATGGAGACTTTTCTCTGATGCCTCTCTCTGCAGCAGCAGATGTGTGCACGTCTAGGTTGTGGCAAGAGAGGGGCCAATGGAGCCCTATGTCACGGCACCTTCACATAGAGAGGATGTAGGAGCCCTAGTTGCTAGTACTATAAAAGCCCCTTAGTTGTGAAGGGAGCTTCCACCTGATCCCTCTCTGATTCTGTCCAAGCTTCATTTACGCATGCTTTGTATGCATGGCATGAGAAGGGTGAATGACATTTGGGTCTTAAAAAGGTGCTGAAAGAACCTGCATAGCCGAGCTCAAAATGAGAGTGCTAGCAGTTGTATTTAATTATTTAAGGGTTAAACCTTGCTTCAGAAGTTCAGTAAAACTGATATCAGGATGCCAACACAGTGTTAATTTATCAAATGTCAGGCATTAATCGTTGATAATGTTATCAAGTGCTTAGAAGATGAGCAGCACAAAGTATTAATTTTAATAATTATTAAGAGCCTAATTATGACAACCTAACTCAAGTGGAGTAGTACCTTACTCTGAGAGCAACCCCAACTTGTGATCTAAAGTACCCCTCAAGTTGAGTAAAAGGGCTTGATTCTCCCACCAGATATCTATCAGCCAGAGAAGGAAGGCCTCTGTGCTTGAACTGGGATTTTAAATGTTAGTATTGTTCACCAACCCAGCAGCACAGGGTTTGGTGGTTTTGTTTTGTTTTGTGTTTTGTTTTTTAAACCCATGTAGCAAAAAACGAAATAAAGACAAATAAAACCACACACAGGCTGCACACAAAAGCTATGCAGCTTCAAGTACTTTCTTTAAGGAAACATATCTGTGTAGTTTTTCCCCCCTAAAGATTTGATTAGCCCTAACATATGATTCTTCATCAGCATAATCCTGATTCATTATGTTTTTGCTGCTAAAGAAAAGTGTAGTCTGATTCTCCATGGCATTACCCCAATTATACATTGGAGTAACTCCACTGATGTCAGTAGCTACCCAGTGTATAACCTGGTATCCATTCTTTCCTATTACCCAGCAATGAAATTGCTCTGTTGGGTAATTAAGTTCTAGAAATGGTTAATGTGTAGTATGTATACAAATCACAGTAAATCGCATTTAGAGAAATAAGGTGGGTGAGGTAATATCTTTTATTGAATCAACTTCTATTGGTGAGAGACAAGTTTTTGAGTTTACACAGAGCTCTTCAAGTCTGGGAAATGTGCTCAGTGTTACAGCTAAATACAAGGTGGAACAGATTGTTTAGCATAAGTAGTTAACACCTATTTCAAGTTTCAGAGTAGCAGCCGTGTTAGTCTGTATCCGCAAAAAGAACAGGAGTACTTGTGGCACCTTAGAGACTAACAAAATAAATTTGTTAGTCTCTAAGGTGCCACAAGTACTCCTGTTCTTTTTACCTATTTCAAGGGCTCATTCAAGTGAAGTATCCAGTTAACATGTCTTCAGTCATGGCGGGGGGGGGGGGGGAGAGGAACTGAAGGGGGACTATAGATTATTGATTTCCCCCCTCCCCCCTTTCTTTCCTTCTCCTATAACTGGACAGGTGGTAACTGGACAGGTGGTAACTGGCCACCTCACCTTGAATAGTCCCTTGAAATACATGTTAACTACTTATGCTAAACAATCTGTTCCACCTTGTATTTAGCAGTGACACTCTAGGTATGTCTACATTGCAATCAGACACCTGCGGCTGGTGTGTGCCATCTGACTCCAGCTCATGGGGCTTGGACTAAGAGGCTGTTTAATTGTGATATAGATGTTTGAGCTCAGGTTGCAGTCCGAGCTCTGGGACCCTCTCACCTCACAGGGCCCTAGAGACCAGGCTCCAGCCTGAGGCCAAACGTCTACACTGCAATTAACCAGCCCCATAGCCTGAGCCCAAGTTAGCTACCATGGACCAACTGCAGTGCCCTCTGAGTACATTGCCCAGACCTGCAGACAGACTCTGTGTAAATTGGAAAGGTCGTTTCTCTCTCCCCACAACAGAAGTTGGTCTAATAAAAGCTATTACCTCACTCACCTTGTCTCTCAAATATCCTGGATCCAAAATGGCTAAAACAACACAGCATATGGTATAGATTATTTGGCAACAACAACTTATTTTAGGTTATGATTAAAAACATATTAGGTTAAAACCTGAAAAAACCAAAGCAAACATCCAAGAACAATTTTTTTAAAAATAAAATATACACGTAAAATTTACAATTTTAGCATTGTGCAAAATAGCCCATAGAGAAACATGGCTCACCCTAAAAGATTGCACATACTCATTGGGGACTTATCCCCAGGACTGCTAAGTACTTTGGATTTGTTATTTTTATATAAAATGATGGGATTTATTATTTTATTCAGAAAGTGCTTATCCCTATAGTACCTAGGTACTTAAGGAATTCAAGGAAAACAATTGAAAAATATTAAAGTGAGCCATTACTTGTCTAAAAAACACTAAATCAGGAAGAGTAAACATCACAAACCAGAAACCCCTGCTATTTTTCTGTCATGAAATTAAATGGACATTGGGTAACATTTTTAAAAGCGCCTAAAAGACTAGGAGCCTAAGCCCTATTTTCAAAACTGATTTAGGTACTTCAGAGCGTTAGTCCCATAGGCCTTCAGTGAGACTTTGGCTCCTAAATCACTTTTGAAAATAGAACTTGTGCTTTTAAAAAAATGTTACTATTGTTAAAGTCTGGACAGCTCAATATTTGATTATTTTTTCTTCTACTGTACCTATCTCCCTAGAGCCCACTATTCAGAATATGAATTCAGAATATGTGGAGTTTGTTTTCAGAACAAATGCTTCACTGTTATTTGCTTTAAACAATAGAAATGCAGTGCAAGCAATCCAGCACTCTTGCCAGTATTTGTGGGATGGAGGGAGAAAGCACGTCAGTAATTATGGAAATAAATTGCAGTTTCCATCTTCTGGATACAGTGGGAGCAAGAGAGGCTCTTAAGAGGAACAGCAGCTAAAATTAAAAATGAAGATGGAAAAGATACCATGATAGTGTCCCTTTCATGTTGAAGTACAATTTTAATAGCATGTTGGGAAAAGCTGAGAAATAAAACTTGCCTCTCCTTCTCTTCACAGCCACTGACTCGCACCCAATCTCTGCCACGAGCATATAGCTCCACCCATGCAAGATGGCATGCAGCTGCTGCTTTTAGCTGAATGCTGATCAGCCAGTCCTTGCTCAGGATCCCTCCACCCAGTTCCCATTGCTAATCCAGAGTCCCTCTCCTAGTCCTGATCCCATATCCATCCAGCCACCTGATGATCCTCTCCACAGGTTTCCTGGAAACTCTGGGTCTTGTTCCCATCAGATGTCTGTCTCTCACATATCAGCTTCCCCCCAGAACCTTCCCAGCTGCCACTGATTTACCCTATGCCTATATTCCCCTGAGTTTAAAAAAAAAAACACAACCACATACACAGGGGTATTAATAACACAAATACGGAACTGCTAGAATTATCACATGCTTTCTAAATCAGCAGAGCATATGGGTTTTTTTTCCATAAAAAGAACACTGAATTCTTAGAATATACTGTTTTTAGTTTCACCATTCTCCAGTGTCGAAGAGAAGTTATGTTCTTGTTCTTCACTTGGTTTAGTTTCTGATGAAAACTGGCTCATCTCCCGTCCTTCTAAAGTCACTTTATTCCTTTTGGCAAATGCCTGGCTGATTTCATTAATGGTCTTATTTTTTGTTTCGGGCAGGACAAAAAACAGGTAAGTAGCTCCAGCAAGGCAGACGACAGCAAACACCAGGAAACAAAATGTCTGCAGTCCAGCCTGTGACAGAAAACAAACGAAACCAGCATTACAAATACTAGAGAGGCAAGAATCTTATGAATAAAAGTAATGCTTGGGAATTGTTTGAAAAACAGTACATTAAACATACAGAACAGCAGCCTGGGTGAATTGCATTTATATTGGGAGACCTGGAGCAATTTTTTTATAAAGTACAATAATAGGCAGCATTAATTGCACACCAGCAGAACAAGTCATTACAAGTTTAAACATGCTAATTTTTCAGTTACTTCATGAGGAAGGGAGGGTATAACGAGGTTCCTCCAATCTTCTCCAGGGCTCTTACTTAGGGGCTAGATCAGGAGCTCAGAGGATCACAGGGTTGCAATCGAGGTGCTCCTGAGGCATGTTGCACTCTAAAGTTGCAGAGTCACTCACATGACTTTAATGGGACCTGAGGTTGCTCACCACCTCTGAAAATCAGGCCAGTTACTTAGGTGCCTAAATATGGGTTTAAACATCTAGGTTTGAAGATGCTGGCAAATATTTTTAGTAGCACCCCATTGTACTTAGGTTAGCACAATATTAAGAATCTGTCACAGCCCTCAGGGAGCCGAATTAAAGTTTTGAGATTATAAAGCCAAACAGATTTTTTCCCTCTGTTTCTAAAGTTATAGGAGTATATTATATAGGAAAAGATGTTACAATAAGATCTACTTTCCTCATTTCAAGGATTAACAAAGATCAATGATCTGAAATACAATCCAAATTTACATGCTTCAGATTTTACTGTTGCAAATGTTCTACTGTACCAAAAAAAAGTGATCAATAGTTTATCATGAAAACTCTAGTCAGATTGTAGGACTTGCATATTATCAAAATGACAGATAACTATACTGCTGGTTATTACATGACCTTTGTTAGATTACCCAAGTTTTTATAACACAATTTTTCAAAATGTTCTGTAGTATTTGAGTCACAATATTGCAAGGTACAGTTTCTTTAAACTGGGAACACAGACTGACATTCTGGCCCCTTTGAAACTGCCATTGACTTCAGTGGGGCCAGGATATCAACTGGAGTTTTGAAACCTCTCCCTTCTCTGTTTTTATGTAACTTCATACACTCAAAAAAGATGTGTATGGTACCCAGAACAAATCTGTGACTTATTTTTATTCGCAGGGCAAAATTTAGAACTAAGCATTGGATGCAGACCTAATAAAAGAATAGCTTTGCAGATTTTCCATGACATCTGACATGCGGTCATGAGTAAAGAATACAAGGGGAACTAGACATTACTTACACACACACTTTTCTAAGACAGAGGTTGCTAGAAGGCAAGTTGTATAGAAGACAAACAAAGACTGCTTGAAGCAGGGGGACAGGCTCCTCAATCTCCCACCTTCCCGCTTGATACCCTAGTTGCCGGACTTCAGAGTCATTCTCACTCTCCCTGGCCTAGTGATGTATTTAGTCACATAGAACAGCTTCAACAGGAGAAATAGAGGGAACCCCACCTCAGAATATCCCATAGTTCAGTAGTTAGAACACTCTCCCGAGAGGATTTGAACAGGGAGCTCCCACCTTTCTCCTCTGCTGAGAGGGTGGAATTAAAGTCTTCCACATTCCAGGTGAGTGCTCTAATCACTAGACTAAAAGTTGTAAGGTGGGCATCTCCTTCAGCTGTTTTGTGGGGAGTGAGGTAGGTGCCTAACTCATTCTCAATACAGTTGACTTAGACGCCTAAGCCAAGTGACTCCAGGAGGGGGTTCCAGGTTGCAGATCACAGGGAGAGAGCGAGAGAGAGAGACTTCTCTGCAAACTTGGTCTTAGGTGCCTATCTCCTTCAGAGGGGTGGGGCTTAGCATGCACCCATCTTGTCAGCGTCTCCCATTGGCTGCCTTGAGCAGCTCTCTGCCTAGCCTGCTGGCTTTTGTGGATCACATTATATGGTATCTATTCCTCCCCATTCATTGTATAGAGAGCCTAGCCTAACTAAGGCTCATGGATCACCGTGTGGTTCCAGTGATTCTTCTATGCACCTAAAAGTTAAGCATTGTGAAGCTCAGTGTCACTTTGCCTAAGTCTCATTTGTGTATCTGGGCCCAAGCCACTACCCTTTCCTCATTCAAATTCTGCTGAAAAACTCATCTCTACGGTGAAGCCTACAAGAAGTGAGCTAAGATTTGTGTATATACACACACACACACATTTACAATTGCTCAATAAGTATACAAGAACTGATGAGATTTTCACACAATCTTTCCCCAACCTTATAGTATAATCCTTCCCTCATTTGTTGCCCCACATCTACATTCTAGAATGCAAGCTCTTTTGGGAGTGGGGCATGTGTTTGTACTATGCCTAACACTATTTTACATGTCCCATTCAGTTACCATCACCTAAATAATGGGTGTCACAACTGATGCAAAACAAGACTCTCTCTGGTGAAGGCTAAGTCCAATACAAGAGATTTCTTACAATGTCATTTTTAATATTGTGGCTGAATTACCAATTTGGCTAGTCACAATGTTTCCATGGATAATTTATCATCTAGCCTTGCCCTTTTATTCACTTCTGTAACGCAAGGAAAGCTGGAAAGCACATCCTCTGATATACTGAATAAGGCCCCCTGAATACATCAGCAATTTTCTCTCCCAAAATAAATTAAATCCCAGCAGCCCAGTACTCCTGAAAACCCAGCAATAATAAGAGCATGTACACATGCAATGGGGGGAAATGTTCTGGTAGGGAAGCAGATCTGGCTTTCAAGCTTATGAACAGACAGAAACAAATGAATTTAATAGTTATGAAAAATAACTTCCCAATGTCTCCATAAGTTATCCTGTCAGATCGAGAATTGTAATTCTGAATTGGAGTTTTCAGCATTTGGAATCGTTTAATAAGGTTGCAGTTTTGTATTTGTCACAGCACCAGGTGGCCGGCTGATGCAGAATGAAGTAGGGGCTGTCTAGCATGGAAACCGGCATGACTAGAACAGGAATAAGGGCCAGCTGGAGCAGTGAGATGAAGCTACTGGCAATGAGAGAGCTTCCAGCCAGGTAGTAATGTGGAGTAGATTGGACAGGCTGCTTCTTTTAGGAGCCAGGATGACCTGGATGGGTCTTTGCCTGTGGATTGGTTGAACCCTGGGTGAATTGCATAGGGCCTATTACAAGACCTGCAGGTAATTGCCTGTGATGACTCATCACACTCTCTGGCCCAAGGATGATTCATCATGTTAAAGCAGGCTGGGTCTCAGAGGTAACTCAGGAATAGGCTGGCTCAGACTCCGAAGGATCACATAATTTACTCACCTGCCATCCTCTTTTAAATCTCTCCATAAAACATACCTTTGCCATTGTGGCTACAAACTAATAATGTGTTGCGTTGATTAGGCTGGCAACCAAATACCTGTGACTAATTTATACAAATGCACCTCTTGCTACTGCTACCTTGTTCTCTGACCTTTATGCCTGCCTTTGTTTATTCACCTGTTGTGTCTTGTTTAAATCCTAGATTCTGAGCTCTCTGGGGAAGAGAGATTGGCTTTGTACTATTTGTTTGCACAAGTTCTAGTACAATGGCGCCTTGATCCCTGACTGGAAACATTTGGCATTTCTGCAGCAGTAATAATGAAGTGTACTATCCTTATGGTTACATTTAATCATAATAAGAACAGGAGTACTTGTGGCACCTTAGAGACTAACAAAT